ATGCCAGAGGCCTTCTCGGTATCACTGGCTGGAGCCCACTTCCCGGCAGGAGAAACAGGCTAAGGGGATGAGACATGTCTGAGAAATTAAGCCAAAGAGCCGTGGCGTTCTGATGTAGCCCACTGCCTTATTTTCTTTCAGAAGCAGAAAGATGCATATATGAATTTGCTTAGTAATACAGATAAAATCTGGCACTCTGAATTATTAGCAGAGTGTATAGCCTGTGATAAGTACAAAAAAAGATGATTTCAATGTTTCTTTTCTGTCCTCATTCTTGCTCCAAGTGAACAGTAAAACAAAAGATGATGATGAATTGGGCACTGTGTGATTAAAAATGGTCTCCTATCATCCCTACCAAAGAAAGCCACGATGCTTCTCACTTAAAAGTGCTTCTGGTCCCAGCAAGCTGTGTATCTTTCTTTTAAAGGAGCCATTTAATTCCCTTATCTACACAGCAAGCTGATTTATTGCATATCCCCACAGAAACAACAGGCCTTCCAAAGGTATGGTGCTATTTCATAGAACACTGCCTTTTCAAGTTTTAAAAAAGAATAAACTTATGCTCATAGTTCATAAATATATAAAGGCTTTTATTTGGCTTTTGCAGATTGGAAGAATGAATACATAATTTATGCCCTGTATTTGATAATTTTATTACAATATGTAGCATTTATCAGCTCTGGAAATTGCATTATAAGCTCTTACTTGAGTTTACTCAGTCATGAGGATGTAACTAGTGGAACATATATGTCCAGTATAAATATTTGTAGAAAAAGGGGGGGGAAAAGACATGTTAGAAGAGAAACCCATCCATTTCTCTTATCATTTATTAGCTGGATAGCTTCAATTTGGATCTACAAATCCCTTTTACCACAGACTTACTGTCTCTTGTAAAATTTAAATCCTTTTCCTTCCCCATCTACAAACAAAAGTCAACAGGAAAAATGAACTTCATTTGCTATAACGCCCACCAGATCCTTTCATATCATTTTTTCCCTTCTTGCTTACATGGTGATGCTTATCCCCTCTGCTTTCAACTATTAAGAAACTTTTTCACTCAAGATCCAAAATGGACTTGTACTCTCTTCCACAATTTCCTGCGGTAAAGTAGGAAATACAAGCTTCCATAAATGTTACTGGATTTTTGAAAGATGGATTTTATTAAGCACAAAACATTTCTTAATACATTATCCATACAAATTGGAAAAAACCCAACTATAATGAATTTCAAGGATTTAATGGCACATCTCGGCACAATAAAAAGGACCATTTAAAAAAAATACAAATCAAAATTATAGGTCACCACTGTCTATACAACAGATAGTTTACCTACAGCCTAAAATACTACATCATCTGGAGAATAAAGAGAATTATTTTTTGTGTGGAACTTGTACTTATTAGCACCATTCAAAACTTGCATCAGTTGCTTAGATAAAGCAGCACCTGACAGTTGGGATAAAGCTTCAAAGCAAGTGTTCAGTGCAACGTCTTCAGCTCCTTTTACTTATGTTTGAAGTCTGTGGGTTCATAGCATGTTAAATTATGGCTTCATAGAAATACATGGTTAAGATGTAGAATAAGATTTACTTCAAGAAGGATGAAGAGTTTTATTTTTAATAATAGCTGTGAAATGCATTTTCATGTATTATGGCAGGCATAGAATGCAGATGACATGCTGAGTTACAAATAGACATCTTATGAATTGGCAGGTAGAGACTATTAGCTCTCTGTGGCACAGACTTCTGGTTGTGTCAGCTGCTGTTTTCTCAGACAAACCAGCTTTATCTTCTCTCTGATGTGTTCAGCTGAAGAAGCCATGTCACTTGGGCTCCCAAAGAACTGCTCAGTGCTGAAAGAAACAAGCCAAAAAACCCCAAGCCCTTAAACATAAGAAAGTAATAAAGAGTTTTTGTTACGTTCACAGATTTATTTTCTCAGTTTGCAGCTTTCAGGATAATATACAATATTATAATACCCTATCACAGGAACTGTTAATCTACCAGAAGTGATTTTTCCAGCAGCTTCAGGACAATATAGAATAATAAAATATTTGAAGATTCAGAACAGCTTCCCAACCTGATGTTTATGTGGGAAATTATCACAACTATACTAGAACATACAAGCTGCTGCTTTTTATATTTGTTATAATTCAAACTAATATGATTTCTTTGAAGCTTTCTTATTAGTGTTTATTTTCATTTCAAATAAACAAGAGAGACTGTTTTCTTCATTGAATTCTAATGTATGGAGAAACTCTCAGTTGCTTATGTTTTAATGACATAAACATATAATACATAGTAAGATTACTAAATTGTATTTCTTGATTTTAGTATTCTCCAGCACCTCAATATTTGACATCTGACTTCGAAGTGCAACCTAAATGAAGAATTAATTTAGCAGGTAGGATTAGGCAAAGGTTAGGTGGCCTCATTCCGTCCATGGAAAGCTCAGAAAGTAAAGATCTATTTCCCTGGGGAAGTAGCAGGATCTCTTCTGAAGCATCTATAGGACAGGAAGCTTTTCTCCAGATAACGAAAGCAGCATCACACTCTCATGACACATGCATACAAGATCACAAGACACATACAAGAAGGTGTGTGCGCGTGTGCGCTTGTGATAGCATGCCATGGCTTACCTCATTTGCCCTCCCATGATCTCCCCTTACAGAAACCTCTGGATTTACTGAATATGGAGCACCACAGATCCCCTAAAGGACGTCATCTGTCCCTCCCACACTGACCCCCACCACCAATCGCCTGTTCTGGCCAGCGCAAGCCAATCGTCTTAGAGATGTGGAACTGGAACTGCTGCTCCACTCTTGCCCACTTCTAATCTGGTCTGTTCCATTACCATACCTGCTTTTTAAAAATTATTACTACAGAAAAGGACACGCCACTAAATACCTTGCATTGCAAAGTGAGCAACTTTAGAATAATCTAAAAGGCCTACATACCCATCAGGATAAACCACAGGAACTGTCAATCTATCCAGAAGGGATTTTCCAACAGCTTCAATCTCATCAAATTGTTCCGGATCATATATAGATTCAGACTCCTCTGGGCATTCTTGCAAAACCTGTAACAAAATAACATTAAGAAAGAAAAAGAAATGGACAAAGTCAGACTATACGTTGCAAAACAGAGAAATCATATTCCTACGTACTATATGCATTCTTGTAATGTTTTCCATATTCTAGATCCAATGGCTTACAATGGACTACTGCATCAGCTGAAGTCCTGGAGCACAGACTGGCAAAGTTTTGAATGGATGCCATTGCCAAGGGTGCCTATGAGGTATTCCTGAAAGTAATGTCTGTACGTGGAGTCACAGACTAAAAAAATTAACTAATACGTTAAGTCATAATAAAGCTATTTTCAGTGAACGGTATGGAACTGCTAATGAAGTTTGTACAAGCTGAACACAGTGGAACTGTATTGGCTTCAACACAGAATAACCCAAAGTTATTCCTGGACTGGACTGCTTTGCATGTGTAACTTATGAACAAACCTATGAACAAACAGGAAGCCAGGCATTATTAAGCCTTCATTGATGTGAATGATTTTTGTAAAGGAAAATGGGGAAAAGCATTCAGTTGTGAGGACAATATAGTCTAGTCCATAATGCTGGGAAAAAGGAAAGGAAAAAGAAGAGGACGACCAGCAGCAAGGCGGATGGACTCAATTACAACAGCAATGAATGCACCATTGAGAGACCTAAAAGGCCATGTTGAGGACAGATCATCCTGTAGAAAATCTATGAAGGTGGTTGCTAAGAGTCAACACTCACTTTACAGCACTTTATCAATCAATAGACTATCAACAATTTAGCATTATTATCCATTATCTGAGTAGGCTAACAACAGCTTGCATGGGGTAACAAAGTAGCTGTACAGGTAGTCCTTGTTGAACAACCCCTTCAGTTACCGTTCGACTTACAACAGTGCTGCACGAGGGGGACTTATGAAAAGCCCTTGTAGTTGCAGCTGTTGCAGTGTTCCTGCAACCATGTGATCACAATTCAGGCGCTTGGCAACTGGTTCACATTACGAAGGTTGCAGTGTCCCACACTCACGTGATCACTATTTGCGACCTTCACTGCTGGCTTCCGACAAGCAAAGTCAATGGGGAAGCAAGCAGGTCGCAAATGGCAATCACATGAACGCAGGATGCTGTAACTGCAGGGGTTCACCTAATGATGGCAACTGGGGCTGCTACAACTGCTGTTGTTAAGTCAGCATGGTCACATGACGTGCTTTATGAGAGTTTCGCTTAGCAACAGAGTTGCTGGTTCCAATTACCATCTTTAAGGAAGGATTACTTATATTAAGAATGAGAAATTCAAATCAAGCACGCGGATTCACCTTGAACTTTTATTTTAACCATACTGCTTTTAGATGCAATTTCTATTGAAATCCATGGCTCTTTGAGACCGCCAATAGTTCCACAATGAAAAAAACATGTGATGCTAAATCAAACTATATATTTTAACATTCCATGTAAACATGATAAAACCTCAATAGAATAAACATATAAAAAGCATACAGTAGTCCTTGACTTACAACCATTTGTTCAGGAACCGTTTGAAGTTACAACAGTGCTGAAAAAATGGACTCATGACTGGTCCCTGAAGTTACAGCCATTGCAGTATGCCCCCACGGTCACATAATCAAAATTCAGGCACTTGGCAGCCCATCTGCACTTACGACCACAGGAGCACTTCAACTCCCCCAACTCGCCTATCTCCCCCATATCTCTGCCCTTTCGGTTGCCCTGCAACCTGCCTCGCAGGGCATCAAGCAGCCTCAGAACCACACAACTCTGGGGCTGCTTGCCACGCTGCAGCTCAGGGGCTTCTTAGCGCGTCGCAGCTCTGGGGCTGCAAGAAGCCCAAGGCACAGCGTAGCGTGAAGCCACCCCTGGAAGCCTCAGCTGCCCCAGCCTGCACCAGAAGCATGTGTTCACCCAGCTGCCTTCTCTCCCAGTTCCCTGTACCACCCTTTTGCCTTTTGCGCCCAGCCGCTGCGGCCAAAGCAGAAGTGCCTCATTGTCTTTGCTGTCTCCTTTTTGGATCTGCAGCTGCCATGCTACCCCGGGCGACCACTTCCTACATGTGGCTCCCCAGCCCAGCCCAGCCCAGCCCAGCCCAGCCCAGCCCAGCCCGGCGGCACAA